GGCCCCTCAGACCACCACCAACCATTCACACACACACCGTACTCATTCTAGGCAATGGGGGTGAAGTGTCTTGTCTAAGCTGCCACACTTTGGCACCTGGTGTTTCCATAGGTCTCCCATCACAGTACTAACCAGGCCTTGCCCTGCTTAGCTTCAGAGGTCTGACGGGATCTAGCCTTTCAAATGCAGGTATAGCCACGATTTATAAGCATTGTGTCAGTACAGCGGCTCCTCGTTTATCATGGGGGTTACGTTTTGTATTTTTTTGTATTTCTTTATTAATTTGACCTGGACAGTACATGTCAATGAACAGATATAGTTGAAAATATTGTTGATATGCCAGACATGACATATGTTAAACTAACTAAAACTATCCTGCAATAAGCACAGAGTAGCAGCTGTATGTTTTAAGGCTGTAAATCCCTCACACACACTTGGACTCACAGCTGCTGAAGTGCGATTGCGGAGATATCAAACCTGTTGGTTGTAGGTCTGAGCGCTGCTGCAGCTGTTAAAAGCTGTGCATACACTGTTAAGTACAGCTGCAGAGGACACTGAGGGGCAGGAGCAGGACTGAGGGCTACCGGAAGACCACGTCGACCTCTGAACTTATCACTATGGTGCACACAAGCCACGACATTTCTCTTCTGATGTAAATACATGTAACTGTCATGTTGTACAGCGGTTATGTCATGTTGTATATAATGTTGGAATATACACACGGCACATAAAAAGCACGCTGTTGAAAAAGCATGAAAAATCCAAACCGCGCTGTAGTGAGGGAACACCGTTTATGATTGATAACTTTAAGCATGTATTTTTGTGTGTTAGAACTGGCACGTCTCTGGGTGCACATCGCAGTCAGATCTGAAAACTAAATACAGACCTAAGGGATTCACAAAAAGATCATGTCGCGTCTGAACAGCGATGAACCGCAGAGATAAGCAGTTCTCCGGTTCTCACATGGACATTTATCAAATGGAACTGTGCCAAAGCTAAGAGCAAGTGGAGCCGGTCGCTTCAAAAGAGTGCTTGTAAAGAGTATATAAGGAACTTCTGCAATAATGAAAAGAGACAGGTCACTGAGGCTGTCCACACTGTCGGTTCAAGCATAAAAAACTTCCCTCCAAGTATTCAGTCTGATATTCTTTGCATAATTGAATATTTGCCGATACTACTGTGTCCATTTTACAAACCAACCACTTACAAACTGTTTGCGTTTGGGTCAGGACCATGACCTCATTAATTGATGTTGAAATTCTGTATTTAAAGAAAACATCTAGGCACAGATTGATGCAGAATGAATGAAACGTAGAGAATGGTAAAGTGTTGTGTGGTTTACCGAGAACGGATGGATGAACTTTCATGTTGTGGATTGTTATTTATTTCTCTGTATCCAGGACATGCAGATGGAAACTAGATCTCTCTATAATCTGGTGCAGAACATATGTCTCTCTGAAGTTAACGTGTCCGCCCAGCAGCTACTCCACCTCTGCTGCTGTGACCCAAAACGCTGTTGCATTTAAATACTATTGTTAGCTACTTTTTGAATGATCTATTTGTTTATCTGTGTCAGAGGAGGTCGGTCTTGGAACAACCTTCATACAGACATCAGAGAATGCCCAACATATAGCTCTTTTAAAAACCAACTTAAACACCATATTAAAGTCAATTTGTGTACAACTTACTGTATATATGATTGTGCATTAATGTGTATTGTCCCAATCAAATAATTAAATAAATAAATGTTTTGTTTGCATGGATGCATATGTTTCTATTACTACTGGACACCTGAATTTCTCCTAATAGGATTAATAAAGTATCTATCTATCTATCTATACACAGCCTTTTCAGTACAGACTAATAATAACACAGAAAAACCTCGACACACAATCCAACCCACAATCAAAATCTCTAAACAGATTGCCGTCAGTCCTTCAGCCCCTTAAGCACGAAGCAGCAGCAACAACACTCGCACATCGTCCAATTCTTTTCTTCCGAGTGGCGACTGGAGTTTTCTGGAGAAGAGTCAAAGCAACTGTTCATGTGCTCCACGTTTGCCTGTGATCGTGCTTTGGCAGCCGCGATGGAGTGCTCAGTCTGTGGAGTCACCGCAAGGACCAGAGCCATGCCGGCGTGTGTCAACCGCCACAGCAGATGTCTGGGATCCATAAGACGTCCCCGCTCCTGCTCCTCGAACAGATAAGCACACACCGGCCTCATGATAGCGCGGGCTGGGGCTGGGGCAGGTGCGGCGGCGGGTTGTTATGAAGTGCTAACACCGTATGGAGACATGAGTGACATTTTGATTGGATTTGGCCAATCTGCTGGGAAGTTGGAGAAGACGTAGGATGGAGAAAAGGTGTCACTGCATGGCTTTGTCGTCAAACGGGAATTTATTTCTCTGACACAACTGCCAGCCCGAGTTCAGAAAGCGACAGCGAATGTGTGTGACAGCGTGTCCGACGTGGCTTATATTTTTAGCGCTTGGTGAATTCTGAATGCTTTTTTTTTGTGTAGTTAATGCCAAGAAGCACATTATAAAAAAGACATGGAAATGATTGAATCCTGTCTCTATCTGTCAGAGCTCCTAGCAAGAAACATACGCCGCTGTAATCAATGCTGTTGTGTGGATTCCGTTTGTTGTGATGTTGGACATGGGCATTGTCACTCAGAATTATCCCTGACGTTGTGTACCCATGAGTTCTCAAGCAGCTGCATCAGTTTTCTCCGTAGCTATAGGTCATCAATCGGTGACGGAGGATTTATGTTTCTATACCTGCATGCGAAAAAGCCGGATCCCGTCAGACTTCTGAAGCTAAGCAGGGCACGGCCTGGTTAGTATTGTGATGGGAGACCTCATAAACTCTGTAAATTTCCAAATTGTCGCTGTGTCCTTGGGAGAGACACGTCACCCACATTGCCTACAATGAGTCTGGTGTGTGTGTGGATGGTTGGTGGGGGTCAGAAGGGCTGATGGCACATAGCAAGTAAGCAAGTAAGTCATATTTAATTATATAGCGCATTTCACAGACCAGGGTCACAAAGCGCTTTACAATTCTGCCTTTGTCTCCCACAGAGAGCAGGGTCACCAGTACAGGAGGCGTATGCCAGACCTATTGCACATGTTTTTAGTGGTAGGGGAAACCCGGAGCACCCGGAGGAAACCTATGCAGACATGCAAACTCCATTCAGAAAGACCCTTTTCCGACCGCGATTCGAACCCAGGGCAGCAGTGTGCCCCTGGGCAGCTGTGGCTACTGTAGTAATATACCACCACCGTGTTTGGAGTGAAAGAATAATGACATTTGAAGCGTCTTTGAGCATCCAAAAAAAGCGCTATATAAAACCCATGCTTTATTATTATTATTCTCTGGAATATGTTTCTAAAAGTCTGTTTGAAGTAGATTAAAGGAGGAGTTGGGTCATCTGCATAATGTGTCCTATATATTCACTACATTAAGAACGTAAAACCATACATCCATACATAATTATCCATTTCAATCACAGAGTAACGGTCTTATGTAAATGCGCTACTACTCCACTGATCAAATACAGAAAAGGTCCAGCAACTATTCCATCTCTCTCTGAAGTAAAGTTCACCCAAAGTCATCGTCTTTGTTTTGAGGATTCTAAGGATGAGGATGAGTTAATGGGATTTCTTCTGTTTTGCTTCAGGCTTTGGGTTGTGCTTGAGCCGGAGAAGCTGTTTAGTTTGATGTCTTGAAACCGACTTAGCGGCGATGCGAGGAACCCGAGCCAATTTTAACTTTGTTGCCTCTCCAATACAGCGGGAACGGTCAATTCCATCAGGACTTTGCTGCCGGACCACTTGATAGAAATGGGCGCTAAGTCCTGTGGCGAGCCTGGCTTATTCCCTTATCGCCTAATAGCTCAGATAAGAAGCTGTAAGAAATGGTGTCAAAATAACTGTTGTATGACGCGCTGCCAAATGATTAAGAAACAACATGAGCAGGCTATGGGAGCGTTTTCTATATCGACATTACTCAATTACAACGTCTGATGAGTATAATTATTTAATAAACACTATGAGGTTACCATGTTTTTTCTTTTGTTTTGGATATTCTCCTTTTGCACCGACAATTTTGTGGTCCGAATGACAGTTTTTGTTGCTGTATTTTTTAAGGTGCATTTTGTGCGGTTCATTTTAATAATTATTCAAATCTATATTTTTAACGAATCTATATTTTGGCCTGCTCCCGCCCCTCTCTGCTGTGGCATCAAAACCGGCTCCTGTCCTGGTTCTTCTTTCTGAAACGCCAAATGGTTTGGTCTTTTATTGTTATTGCTGTAAATGTGATTTTCATGATTTTGTGTGTGTGTAGATGCCGAGTCCATCTATCCAAGGGTACAAATAAAACCTTGATTAGCTTTGTTCAATTTCTTGTCTCATTTTGTTTGACTTGATGGGACCGGTGGGTACGATTGTGTGGAATTGCAGCGTTTTATTTACTATATAGTTAAGGTGGTGTTGTATCCGCATCGCCATAGGGTTGGACAGGTTTTTGCAGCTATATTTTCAGGTCCACCTTTGATTTTAGGTTGTTGTTCTAGACACAGGATTATTTTTTCTCATTTAGAACCTACAGTTTGAATAAATAAAAGAACAACAACAGAAACAACCTAAATACAACTATCTTTGTGACAATTTTGAGACATCCAGGCAAATAATATCAAAGCTTTACCGCAAGAGTTTTACAAGTTTGTGTTAAACTTATAATAACTTTCACCCTGTTTCTGTGTCCCAAATATGTTTTGTCTTAGCTACTTACAACCAATTTTCTTCCACTGGATTTTTTCCTTGTCGATGCAGGAGGCTCTAAGAACAGCAGTGATGATCCAGGACACTCAACATTAAACAACATCTATAGACAGCTGATAACATTCATGGACATTGGTCATCTGCCCCTTATGGACCAATGGTTCTATAAGTTCACTATCATCGTGAATCACCTGAAGTGAACAAACCGCAGACTCACCTGGAGCTCTGTAGAAGCCTGTGTCTTCTTCGCTGAGAGGCAGCAGATAAACTTCCCCTTCTTTCCACAGCAGGGGGTATTCCTGTCCCCCGGAGAACTGCCCCTCCCAGCCGTCCTGGTCTGCAAACAGCGGATCAAGACACACGTATCTATGAGATTAATACCGTATATATGAACACATATATACTGTACACACAACTGCAGGGTTTTATCTTGACTATTTTTCATGTACTGCGATTATTTAAGATTTAAATTATCACCGACCATATTTTTTTGGTCTACTTTCTTGTCTGTACTTTTCTTATTACTTACTTCTTCTTATAATTAATCTGATGTCTTGTCTAAACGCCAAAATAAGCACTTGAACTGAACTGATTTAATACCTCGTGTATGGACTGTGCTATACATATAAACTAGCCTATGCATAGCTGGTGTGAATATTATATGGTTTGTATTTGAATGAAATAAAAGAAGCATTCATATATAAGTAAATATGTGTTTGTATGTTCCATCCCTAACTTTTGTTGTTGACTTTTTTGGTTTGGTTATTACAATACTGGTTATTTTCAGGCCCTTTCTTTAAGATTACACATATTTGAAAACCTCAGACAATACCGTCCAGGAAGTCAGAGGTGATGTTGAAAGCCCTGTAGTGGCTGGAGGAGGAACAGGCTGAAGAATGGCCGTAACAGAAACAAGCTTGACATCCTGCTGGATTCGTTTTCTGGAGATCAAAATACCCCGGTTTGCACCTGCAAGAGAGGAAAACAGCACTTTGAATAAAACTACAAGATTTGAATTATATTAGATAGATAGATAGACCGATATATACTTTATTGAACCCAAAGCAAATTGTGCATTGGTCCCTTGCTCACAATCATACAAACATAGGATAGAGATACAACACAGTTAAAAATGACAATAAAATAAATTAAAATCCTTTAAAGAGAAGTTAAGGCACTGCAAGACAATTCTCAAGACCACTCCCTCCCTCCTCCTCCCTGCTCCTCCCTGAAATATATTGCCATTTACTGAATAACTTTAAAAAAAATGCTTCAAATCGGGCTAATATTTAATTACTTTAATTCTCTCTCATAGAATAACACAAGAATACTGGATGGATGGCTGACATCTTGATATGCTAAATGTTAATAGCTTCTTCCCACAAGCTGTTATCAGTTGGAACAGAACACTTTAATGTTCTTGCACTTGTATTGAAACTGTTTTAGTCGATGGATTTTACAGTGACAATTGTTTACTGTTTTATTTGTTTTATTCCTGTACTTTTAATGTTTTTTTATGTCTGTACTTGTCTTGTGCAAACCGGGGACTTTTGCTAATGTATTCCAATGTGGTTTTACTGCAAATGGCAAATCAATGAATCTGTGAATGTGACGCTAAAGCCTGGGTCTGACTCGTGGTGTTGAGAATGGAGCAGCGTTGACGAGCACCACGCTGGTCACGTTGCCAAAGGCAGAACAAGACCCAACCAGGCGTAAAATCAGCTCAAACGTCGACAAACAAGGTGAACATAATTATTCTGTTGTTTCATCCAAAAAAAAAACAAATATTAAACAACTAAAGCAGAAAAGCATATTGGGAGTGATATAATGTCAGAGCCAATATGTGAGGAGTGTTGGAAAGTTTCCAAGTACATGTAGTGAGAAAACACAAGACTTATTTTTAGTAACTGTATTTGGGTAAAAGTAATGAAACCATAATTATAAATATCCAGTGAAATCAATATTGGGTCAATGCTAATCAGCTGCCCCTCAATTCACAGAGCACAGTCTACTGTCATTTCATTCATTCGTGCGCAGGAAAAATGAATTAATGAATATACAGTAAAAAAATAAATACAGTAGGCTAAATTAAACTGCTAGGAGAAGATGGACACATTTCTGACACATGACAATCTGCAGTCAAGGCTGAGGTTTATATGAATTACAATGTGTGACATATACTGGTGGCTGAATGGATAGCACTCTCGCTTCTCAGCAAAAACGTCCGGGGTTCGAAACCTGGTCAGAATAGGGTCTTTCTTAGTGGAGTTTGCATGTTCTCCCCGTGTCTGTGTAGGTTTCCTCCGGGTGCTCCGGTTTCCCCTACCACTAAAAACATGTACAAGGTCTGGCACGCACCTCCTATACTGGTGACCTCGTTCTCATCTCTGTGTGGAGTGAGTGAACAAATTCCCAAAAATATAACAATTGTAAAACGCTTTGTGACTCTGGTCATTGAACGGCGGTATCTAAATAAAGATTACTTACTTACTACAAAACTGCAATGGACTCTAAATTGTAAGTTTGGGAATCACTGCTCTCCAGCCAACCTAGCAACCTGTGGCCTCCTCTTTTACAATCAACTTTTTAAATGAACAGAAGTCCTTACCTGTCACAGCTTTGCCCCTCGACGTTTGTCTTACAGCTGCAGAGTCCGTCCACGGCAGAGCAATGTCCCACACTTCCAGATTCGATGCAGCCGCACGCTCTGAGTATCACAACACACACATCACACAACTCAAGCACAGAACACACACAAGTCCTGGAACAACCTCATGTCACTGCTACAAATTATGCTAAATTAGAAAGTCCTCCTCTTTAGAAAGGACTTGTAGCAGCAGGAGATTTTGTCACATTGGTTTTGTGTTAAAGCAAAGTTATTCTGTCGCTCTCTGTGATAAATGACTTGTGTTAGTGGCTGTTTTAGTGAAGCTGTTTCATAATGAGTTGCTATTACAAATAATTTAATTATTCAAAGGCAAACTCTCTTGTTGGTTGTGCTCCACTGGACTGTGTAATTCACACCTCAACTCAACAGCTGCATTTGCCTCATGAATCCAACATGTGGTGTCTGTCTTCCAGCGTGGAAGCAACGGAGACCAAACTGAGGATGATTACATTACTCATATCAGTATAATTAAAAATAATCTAATTGTTTTAGGAAAGTCAATATATTATTCAATTAAGTTTGTCTTGGTGGGTGACAGTAGCTCAGTTGGTAGAGCATTGGCCTTAAGGCCAGAAGGTCGTGGGTTCAATTCCCACCTCTGCACCTTCTCCACCGACTCCCACTGATGACTACTGTCGTTGTGTCCTTGGGCAAGACACTTAACCCAACTTTGCCCAAAGCCCCCACTGAAAGATCAAGGCTATGCTCACACTCAGAGAGCAGCCGTCCTCCTGTGGACTCACCACCTGCAGAGGGTCAGTGAGGGGCTGGTGCTATGAGACTTGGGTGGCATCTCTGACTGCCACCCCCCTGAGCCAGAAATGGATTAAAGGGTAGAAAATGGATGGATGGTTTGTCTTGGTTGGTGGTTGGTATACCAGTTGTGTGCTGCCTCTGTTTTACGTAAAAATCACACATCAAACATATTCTATGTCAATTTACTTTGACATAGAATATGTCAAAGAGGATTTACGTATTTGAAAAAATAAAAATAAAATTTGAACAAATGGATAACCCTTAAATATTTTTGTGCAATTGATTGTATTCATTTTATTCAGTTGGTAAAGCACTGGTCTTTGGACCTAATGGTTTGGGGTTCGAATCCATCACGACCCATGTCAGCTGTCACATCAGTGAGAGCACTGGGAACACTGATGTCTGCTGTCGTTGTGTCCCTGGGCAAGACACTTAACCCCACATTGCCTGAAGCCTCCTCTGATAGACCAAGGTCATGTCTTTAATCACGGAGAAGCCATCATCCCGTGGACCCACCACCTGCAGAAGGATCAGCGAGGGACTGGTGCATCTGATTACCACCCCCCCAACCCAGAAATGGATTAATAAAAGGGTAGAAAATTACAAAACATAAAATTATGTTTGGAGAAGAGTCTGATAAAAATATTATATACGTATGTATATATAAATTGTAATTTTGTCCTAGACATTACGAGATCACAACAGCGTCAATCAAAATCAATTTTTGAGGTGGGTTGGGGTTGGTGGGGGAAAGAACCGCACTCTCCACTTTTGAAACAAAACTCTCTGGTCTTATTTGACGAGCACGTATCACCAGAATGATTGACATCTAGGAGGACCAAGAGTCTTGATGATCTACCCGGAAGTAGACAATCCTCCTACTGTATATAACCATCTGTGAAATAATAGCTGTAATAATTTCATAATGTACAGTACAGAATCACTTTGTCCCCATGCTGCTCACAACTATGTATTTCATGCACTAGAATACACGTATTTTATACTTGCTTCTTTATCATTCCAAAGTTAGAGATTTTATACTTGCTTCTTCATTATGCATTTTAGATTTGCCGGCTTATTATGCTAAAGCTAGATGTTTCATTTTAGTATAGAGTTATAGATCATTTGTCTTGTGCTGTGGGCTCCTCATTGCTACTGTTCTGTAACCAATGATGCAACACTGCAATTTCCCCACTGTGGCACAAATAAAGAATCTCTTAATATTAACTTTAATACTGATAACATGCAAAAGTCATTGATATGCGATTCAACACCAGTCCAAATTAGTATTCATGCAGCAGGTAGGCAGAGGGGGTCAGAGCGCCAGAATAGACTCCGTATGAATATCAAAACCACACATCCATGTACCAGGATTTAAACATTTACATTCAGCCTAATAAACCCACACGAAGGAGGCCCCCAAGGCCACGACAGGCAGATCATGCTCTTTTCACCAGCGCATAAGAGAAAGATCACATTTTAATATGAACTGTTTGAAAAGAAACCCTCGGGTGAATTTACTGCCGCATCAAATCGAGAAAATTCGTCAGATCAACAAGGACAATTTGTTTACTTCTTTCAACAGTTCAAGAGTTGAAATTCATCAGTACGACTTAGATATGAACTTTGAGGCCCAGTTTAGACGGAGGCGCTGCACAGACGTTGCCAAGATATTAACAGAAACGACCAGGCTCTTTATGCAGATTTCACAGCGTTCTTACGAGGATCAAAAATTATGTAGTTCTAGCGCCCGGCCAGTAGTGGGCAGAGGAGCTTTACAACATGACACACACGAGCCCCAGCCCCCTCCCCCAGCAGTTACTCACTTCCTCAACATCGTCCTCAGGCGCCGCAAAAACGTGAAAGAATGCACAAACATCATTCTGAATTTAACGGAAGCTGCGAAAATGGAAAGTGAAACTAGAGCTTTGCGTGGTTTCGTTTGGACGAACGAAAGAGTAGAATTCTCCTCCGTGGAGCCCTCGAAGCACACGTAGCTAGCAGTGGGGGCGGGTTCCGGCTCAAAAGTGGCCAAAATGACGTGCTTGCAATACCACCCCGGGCCGATGGGGTTGGACCCGGAATAAGAATTAGCCAATGCTAACATATAGCATCGGCAGACCTCACGAAAACGTCTTTACAGGATGGTCCAAAAGTTGGCTCTTGGCCCAAAGCTCCGTTCCACATGTGTGTCAATGCTGAGGGGGGTGAATTTTTTTGGACCACTCTAGTTTAGTTGCTGTGAATTTTTGAAGGCACTCGTTTAAATGAAAGGAGCTTGCGCCGGCTAACACATGCGCAGATGTGTTTTTTCACATTTTCCAGCCCCCGCGGCCATTTTGAATCACTCCATGAGAGCCCAATTTTTGGCCCATTAGTTAGAACGGCGGAGATAGGCGTGACTACGTCCGTCAAATAACGGCGGGTACACTAACTAGCTACCAGTCTATAGTAGCTAGTTAGTGTACCCGCCGGCATTGTTGTTTGCGTTTGTTCTCGGCTACTGCGCATGTCCAAATGTACGTGCGGGAAGCAGCGGGGAGGTGGGGTCGTAGCAGGTGTAGAATTCACACCTTTTTCTTCAGGCAGGTGTGAAAGAGCGCCCCCTGCTGAGCAGAGTCTCTGAGCTGTCCCACTCTGCAGGCTGGATCTTAACTCTTACGTTTACACCCCCCTGGAACAAAGTCTGCATGTGAATGGGAGGTAGCAAACGACATCCAACTATAGAGTTTTACTGCCGCATTGTCTCCATATAAATAAGCTAACTCAGCGTATAAGTATAACTCTAGAGTAGGCCTGGGGGCAAATTGCGGCCCTGTGACATGTCGTTTGGCCCTCTGCCTTGCTAACCCAAATTAGTCATTAAGATCATAAACACAATTTCACGGTGTCAGCCAACTTAAGGTCCACCAGTATAGAAACAAACTACCTTGTTGTGAAGCTCAGACCCTGTTATTGTATTTGTATATTTGTCTTTGACTTCTCATTTATGATTCTGATGTAGCTGTTGTTGTGATAGTAAGCTAGCAAACGTGTGTCAAATGTGAATCTATTTGGACGTATCACTCCTCATTTTAAATCTCAGAACAGCCTGATCCAGTCGAAGCTGTTATCCGTGTTGTCGGCCCCTGGACAAGTCAGGTCAACTGCAATCCCAACTATTACTAGTCGAGTTCCATGTTTTGTACCGTAAAGACTAGAACAGAAACTGGAATTCAGACAAAGACATATGATTGTCTTTTATCACCCATTTTAGGTAACTTATTTTTACTAAACATAATTTCTATCAGCCCAATCACACATTACTTTTATGAATTAATTATGATTTTAATGTCCCTATACCTTGTACATGTAAACGTCTGAGATCCACTGTATATGAAATGTTTCTGTGATAATTGTTTGAAGCCATGTATCTTGTTTTTTTGGCACTTTGAGTTGCCTTGTGTATGAATTGTGCTACGCAAATAAACTTGCCTTGACTCACTGACGCATCCCACTGTTAAACTTATTTCTGTTTTTTTTGTGACAGCAACAGTTTTTCAGTTGCATATTACATAAAACAATTGAGACGGGTTGCTAAGGTGGTTGCTAAGGCGATCTGGAATCTCCCCAGTGAATAAATGCATCTGATTGGTCAATACTTACATGGCTCTTATCTGGATTCACCGCAACAAACATTAAAATATAAACCCAGAGATCACAGAAAACGCACTAAAGTAGGGAGAGTTCAAAATGGTGAACGTGACACAAACACTTACTGACCTATAGGAGATTGTTTAGTCTTCCTTAAAATGTGAGACAGGCCTCCTCTCCGACAATGTTTAAATCCAGGTTAAAAAAAAAAAAGTTCTGTTTAGTTGTGCATACAACTGAGGGATTTTCATCTTTACTCTTTTTTTAATACATGGTGATTTTTCATTTTATACTATTTATATTTTAATACCTTGTGTGATTTTGTTTTGTTCAGCACATTGGGTTGCCTTGTGCTATACATAATAAACTTGGGTAACACTTTATACACACATACTACACCTTATTTAGGCTTATTTAATCATGAACAATTCATTAATTAAGTGTGACCAACACTTAATAACTACTTAGCTTCTACAGTTGATAAATGCTTAACGCATAATGAATACATCTTCAAGTACTTCACTTGTAAACTAATCCTGCAGTGCATGATTTATTCAGTCAGTTACTAACAGTCAGTGACGAGTTTTTTTGCCTTTTTGCAAGCAAGTCAAAAGGAGCCAGAGCGTTAGCATTGTCCATCTACTCTGTATACTGTCTCTGGTTAGAACTTGGTCATTTGATTGAGGCAGGAGTTTGGGTTCAGTCCTAGTACAGTGGGTAAAGGCAAAACAATATTGCCGTGATACTTAAAATGCACATAAAATACCAAATCTCGATGCGGCCATTACCACTAATATTAACAGTTAAATACAGTATGCATTTTACTACTTAGCAAAGGAGTATTATGGCTGCTCGGTCTCTCATGGTTTCCTGGAAGTGCACCTAGAGATTAGTCAGTCTTAAGGTATTATAACACCTGAAATAAAACCATTCACAAGTGCACGATAAGTGATTTTTATTGTTGATTACGATCCCATTGGGAAAATAATATCAAATATATGCTTTATGTGAGAGTGTGCCACAAATACTCAGCATATACTGTATATATTTGCACTGTATCAGGTTGGTTGAAATAGCCGTTAGTAGCAAAAATCAATGCCCACCAGACCGTGCTGATTTAACAGTGTACTTTTGGTGACAGTAAAGACACACACATCGTCTTGATAACATGGTTCATTTATAGTATCGTGACACGGAGACAGCCTCTGATCTGTTTCTGATTTCTGTGGTTACGTCTTGAAAGGAGTTGTTGTATTCTCGTTGTATGTAGCAGAGCGCTGCGGTAAGATGCTACATTGTCACTTCTGCCTGATAAGAAGGAGGACACAGACACACAGCCGTATTTCAGTGGCGTTGACCACATATTTTATTCTTTCATAAACTTAAAAAAAAAAGTATGTATTTGTTTTTATTTTGTTATTGAATCAAGCACAACAGACAGTGGACAAACATAGACAAAACTATTTGTTTGTCCAGAACCTACACTTTTAAAGTCTACACTGCAAAAACTACGGAAAAATGAGTCAGAAATTATAGCAAAGGAAGGTTTCTCACCCATCATCTTTAAATTTAGCACATTTTGATTGCCTTAAAACAAGATTTGCCAAAGGGACAAAGCAAAATGATCTTTTTATAAATAGATAAAAGAAATGTCTCCCTTGAAATGAGAAAATAAAGCAACAGTTCTTGAAATTCGACTAAATGGGTTTGCCCCATTGGTGAATCTAAGACAGTCAGAATGTGCTAAAATTAAGTTTAAAAAACCCACTTGATTCCCCACTTATATTTGATCATTTTTTGCAGTGTAAACCCACATTTTTACACTTAGCTTTTGACACCAACTGAATTTTACTTTTTACATGTATGTATTAATTTCATGCCGTTAGCTTTTTTACATTTTTTTTATCTTTTGTGCCTGTGAAGCTCTTTGGGCAGCTAGTGTTGTTGTAAATAAATCAATAAATTGTATTGTGTATATCTGCTATACTAATAAAACTGAAATACTGAAAGATATAGTTTTTTTATTATAATAGTAATAGGGTATCGATTATTCATGAGTTTGCGTGATTATTCGTGCGTGCGTCGTTGCTCACCTGCAGCCACCGGGGCCGAGAGAGTGAAATCCAGGCAAACACGTGTCGCACTTCTGCCCTGTCACCCCAGCTTTGCAAACACAGCTCCCTGCCTGATCGCACTGTGGGCTGACTGAGCCTGGGCGGAGAGAGCAGAGCACGAGGATGTCATTATTTATAGTAAACCACCGGCGAAATGACATAACATTTCAAATATCATAAATGTCATACAATTTCATCCAAGAATTGCAACACAAAATGATTTACCCATATGCTCAGCACCCAACAGACCACACTGAACCACATATAGTATAGTATAGTATTGTAAAGTATAGTAAAGTATAGGTATTAAGTATATATTTCAAATGTAATGCAAAATAAAACAATATATACAATAAAAAAGATACAAACTAAAAACAATACACAAAGTAAACAGAAATCAAGCTTTTGTGTATATTAGGGTTATGCTTATACACAAACATATACTGTACATATACACACATTCACACACTCGACCAAGAGTGTCCAAACTTTTAACTAAGAGGGCCACTTTAGTTCGCCAGACTTGTCCAGGGACCGACAACATGGATTGTCAAACTATTTTGACTAGAATTGGTCTATTTTGAGATTCTAAATGAGGTGTAACATGACCATTAATACAAATATAACATCTGTACGGACACCTTTTTGTGCTGTAATGAAAAACAAATGTCAGAGCATACAAAAACATGGATTCAAAAGGTTCTGAGCTTTACGATGAGGTATAACATGCGTATATAGGAGAAGCGGAAGTTGGCTGGATAACACTCTGAACTCGTGTTTTGGGTTAGCAAGGCATGAGGCCACATCGAAGGACACAGGGGGCCGCGACTGGCTCTCGGGCCTTAGTTTGGACATACCTGCTATATAGAGTATACCCTTGCTTTGGTGTGCGTACAATCTTGTCTTCTGTCTATCCAGTTAAATGTGTTTAATGTCCATTCTCTCTTTAGTTTGACTGTGACGGAGGACTGGATTGATGAACAGAAGCCCTGCTGATCAACACATCGATAATTCAGCGTGGAACAGACTGAAGTGAGGATCTGCACCAGCTGCTCCTGAGATGTTCCATATGCCGTCGAAGAATATGGTTCAACGTTCAAGTTTGAGGGGCAGTAAAAACAGCGTAACATGTAAATGTGGGGGGAGTTATGGTTTTTGAGTGGAGAGGGGGTCACTGAGGTCTGTGGACAAACTTTTAGCACGGTAAGAAGTGTTAGTAAGTCATCTTTACTCTCGCTCCACAGAGTTTTGAGCGGGTTGCCATACAGGAAGCGCATGCCAAAGCTACTGTATTGTGCATGTTTTTAGTGGTAGGGGAAACTTGAGCACCCGCAGGAAACGTACGCAGACACAGGGAGAACATGAAAACTCCACACAGAAAGGCCTGGAGGGGGAATAAAACCCAGGCCCCACTTTATTATTATTATTTTTCCATCAAGATAGCAACTGTTGTGATTTTGGGCTATGCAAGAATACATTGAATTTAATTGAGTAATAAGGAAGAAAGTATAAAATGTATAAAACAATTTATAAAAGCATAAAACAGATAGATATGATTAGTATAGATCTGTACACGTTAGCATTATGAGGGTAAGTGACTAATTAAAGTGACAGTGGACACATGGTTCTATATTGCACGTTCGGAAACTACAGATGCATATGTGAGGTCAGGTCGGCAGAGTTTCTTTATGTGTATTTGAAGATAATGCTAAGCTAAATGGAACATACACCATGTTAAAATGGACTACAACTAATCTCAAGCGTGTTTCTGTGGTGTTAATTTCTGTTTGCAGTAGCTTAGCAACATTTACTCTTGGTACAAACACAGAAACCTCCTTGAATGTAACACATACTGATGGAACACAACTAAAAGTGAAACACCTGTCACTTCACTGGCCTGCGTGGAATAGCGTGATGTTGATATGACACGTGGGTATTGCAGAGGTGTGCTAAAAAATCCTGGCAAGAGTGCATGTAGTGCTGGGTATTGGCAGAAACTGGAACACGCTGTCGTATGGGGCGATCCAGAGCAAACTCTCTGCATTCAAAGGCCTTCAGTAATATCCTAACCTTGCCTGCAAGCTGAATTCTCGCGGTATTTGTGAGTTCACAAACACTCGAGAATACATCTTACCCCGCTCCCGCCAACCCTTTTTGAGTAGAACATCTAGGTGTTCAAGCCAATCACGCGCCAGTCTGGGGGTTTAGGGCGGGATATCCGGGTTTGACGAAAGCAAGAAGTGCCGGGCCGAAGCAAAACAAACATGGCTACGCAGGAGGACGGACGCGTAGCTGAGGCTATCAAGTCAGTTTTAGCAGAATCTCCAATTTCTTTTTTGAAAGATGAACAGCGAGAGGCGCTTTGTGCATTTCTGGACGGCAAAGATGTTTGTGCATTTTTACCTACGGGTTTTGGCAAACCTTGGTAGGCGGGCACACAGCGTCACTTCGCCCAATCAGCTTTAAGTATTCTGCTGCTTTCCCCGAAAGGATTCTCCTGCAGAAGTCCCAGATTGATATTGTGAAGAACGCATTCGAGTTCTACACAATCATCAATCTGGCTCTTGCCAGGTTAGTAATATCCACCTGTGATCTTTTTCGGAAAATGACAAAATTTATCAATGTAGCGTATTTGCTTCTTTGGGTTCTAGGGTACATGTACATTAGAGTCATACTAGTTTTGCCATAACTTTTGCACATATTTGTATCCAACATCGCTGATAAAAACTATTAAAAGGTTTATAGTTTGAGCGTGTAAGTACAGTTCCCGCTAAACTCTTGTAACCATTATACCCGTGGAGGCGGGAGGAAAAGTCCTTTTGTGGCAGATGCGTTTCAGAATCTGCTTTTATTATAGCGATGCTACTTAAAGGAGCTATACCCGTTTCTCTAAGGTTTGAATGTTTAGCACCGCCCCCAACTCACTCACAGGCTTCTCATTTCCCCTACGCTCTCATTCCACGGAGCCATCTAGTTTTATTTGCGATCTGATACATATGCTAACATTAGCATTAGCGGAACTTAAGCTGTTCAACAATCACTGATGAAATGGTACAAAAGCAACGCACTGCTAACAAAATATATAACTGAAAGATTAGCGCTAGTTCTACATCCGAATGTGGTCCGAGCATAGACAGTCCGAGCATAGACAGTCCGAGCATAGATAGTCCGAGCATAGATAGTCCGAGCATAGACAGTCCGAGCATAGATAGTCCGAGCATAGATAGTCCGAGCATAGATAGTCCGAGGTGGTCCCGCAGGTCTCTCCCATAGACAAGTCTCTCCAGAGGATACGATGTAAGCTAGCTATGTTCACTCGAGCTTTCTTTCTTCTTTGATCATTTCTTTGCTTTAGTTCCCTCTTCTCTTCCTCACTGTTGTGTTGTTTGGGCTGTTTTGCTGTGTCTGCAGTTACAGCCAGAGGAGTTATAGCCACGTATGCTAACATGCTACTGTGTTCTGTGATTGGAGGAGAGCGGGCGTCACGCTAAGTCTCTATGCAGCACTTTTTACTGCCTGAATTCATACACAGCTGAATCAATGAGCTCAAGTTTTCAATTAAATTACGGATTTTAATACAACTTGTATGTAGTAATAAGCATTTTTATGAACTCATTAGAAAATAAATCGGGTATAGCATCTTTAACTCATTGACTGCCAGCCATTTTGAATGACCTCACTGATTTGCAAGACTCACAGAATATTGTGTGCTATGACTATGAAAAATATGAAACTGGAGACTGTAAGACTGGGCTGTCGATTTTCAGCAGCAAAAATAAGTTTGTATCTAGCTTTTTTCGTTCTCCTGTACTCACCAGTCGAAAAGAGGGGAGAGTGACAAAAAGCAACAGTCTTAGAAAAAACATTCAAGAAAGTAAAACAGAATAAAACTCTGTCTACAGCCGAATCCCAGACATACAGTGCCTTGCGAAAGTATTCGGCCCCCTTGAACCTTTCAAAATTTCTCCACATTTCAGGCTTCAAACATAAAGATATAAAAATTAAAATTTTTGTCAAGAATCAACAACAAGTGGGACACAATCGTGAAGTGGAACGAAATTTTTTGGATCATTTAAACTTTTTTAACAAATAAAAAACTGAAAAGTGGGGCGTGCAATATTATTCGGCCCCCTTGCGCTAATACTTTGTAGCGCCACCTTTTGCTGCAATTACAGCTGCAAGTCGCTTGGGGTATCTCTCTATCAGTTTTGCACATCGAGAGACTGGAATTCTTTCCCATTCTTCCTTGCATAACAGCTCGAGCTCAGTAAGGTTGGATGGAGAGCGTTTGTGAACAGCAGTCTTCAGCTCTTTCCACAGATTCTCAATTGGATTCAGGTCTGGACTTTGACTTGGCCATTCTAACACCTGGATACGTCTATTTGTGAACCATTCCATTGTAGATTTGGCTTTATGTTTTGGATCATTGTCCTGTTGGAAGATAAATCTCCGTCCCAGTCTCAGGTCTTTTGCAGACTCCAACAGGTTTTCTTCCAGAATGGTCCTGTAGTTGGCTCCATCCATCTTCCCATCAATTTTAGCCATCTTCCCTGTCCCTGCTGAAGAAAAGCAGGCCCAAAGCATGATGCTGCCACCACCATGTTTGACAGTGGGGATGGTGTGTTCAGGGTGATGAGCTGTGTTGCTTTTACGCCAAACATATCGTTTTGCATTGTGGCCAAAAAGTTTGATTTTGGTTTCATCTGACCAGAGCACCTTCTTCCACATGTTTGATGTGTCTCCCAGGTGGCTTGTGGCAAACTTTAAACGAGACTTTTTATGGATATCTTTGAGAAATGGCTTTCTTCTTGCCACTCTTCCATAAAGGCCAGATTTGTGCAGTGCACGACTGAATGTTGTTCTATGGACAGACTCTCCTACCTCAGCTGTAGTTATCTGCAGTTCATCCAGAGCGATCATGGGCCTCATGGCTGCATCTCTGATCAGTCTTCTCCTTGTTTGAGATGAAAGTTTGGAGGGACGGCCGGGTCTTGGTAGATTTGCAGTGGTCTGATACTCCTTCCATTTCAATATAATTGCTTGCACAGTGCTCCTTGAGATGTTTAAAGCTTGGGAAATCTTTTTGTATCCAAATCCGGCTTTAAACTTCTCCACAACAGTATCTCGGACCTGCCTGGTGTGTTCCTTTGTCTTCATGGTTCTCTCTGCGCTTTAAACAGAACCCTGAGACTATCAAAGAGCAGGTGCATTTATACGGAGACTTGATTACACACAGGAGCATTCTATTTATCATCATCAGTCATTTAGGACAACATTGGATCATTCAAAGATCCTCACTGAACTTCTGGAGTGAGTTTGCTGCACTGAAAGTAAAGGGGCCGAATAATATTGCACGCCCCACTTTTCAGTTTTTTATTTGTTAAAAAAGTTTAAATTATCCAATAAATTTTGTTCCACTTTACGATTGTGTCCCACTTGTTGTTGATTCATGACAAAAATTTAAAATGTTATATCTTTATGTTTGAAGCCTGAAATGTGGCAAAATGTTGAAAGGTTCAAGTGAGACACAGACAGAGAGGAAAAGAGTGAAAAACAATGTTGACGTCAATTGTCTTAACGTCGTGTTACGTCAATGGCGGTCAATGAGTTAATAATAAACAATATTCACCTTCGATATCGCAGCCGCACCGGAGGCAGGCGTCCTCTGGGGAAGTCCTGTAGTGGTTTTCTTTGCAGTGCTCACAGTGCGCGCCGTCGGTGTTATCTCTGCAGTCCAGACAGCGCCCCCCACTGCCCGTGCTGCGGTACTGCTCCACATTAAACTCGCACGTGTCCGCTCTCCCGCTGCAGTTGCATTCTGGGAGAAAGAAAAGAGGCACGAGATGAAAGCAAGCGGTCGAGTGGGAGAGAGCACAGCCGCACGCTACAATAAGGTGCAAAAAAAAAAAAAGACATCAAAATAAAATAGTTCAACACCGAGCGAGGCTGTGTGTGTGTGTGTGAGGCAGATTATGCGTTCTGGGATTGGATCATAATTTAGAGGCTCGTTGCTAATCTCATTTCACACAGGCCTAATGAGGAGCCAATCGTCTGTCAGGGGGCACTTAGATAACAGTAATTCATGTTTATACAAGAGAAAATGACTCAGCTGATAAAGCTCCATCACAGCTCATACCCTTCAAATCAAATCCCGCTTTAGTTTCCCCGCTGCCCCGAGGGTGGATTTACGTGAAAATAGCATACTTTATTATCAACCCTTCGCTGTGTTGTTCTGGAAAGAGATGAATATTTCCTCATGTCCCAGAAGAACAAAGACGGCTCCAACGATGGCAGGAACAGGACCAAACAGTTTACATTTCAAAGAACAGATAATAAATAGAAATTGGTGGTTTTCGTCTCAAAATGGCCAATAAACGGAGTGTTAGCGTTCCTCCGCCCGTGAAACATGTTTTAGGTTCAACTCCAACACATTTTGCATTTGAATTAAGTTGTTTACACTGTCTGGTGTCGGGTTTTTTACGCTTTAGCTCAAGGTGAGAGAGAGTCGCAGATTTGGAATGCTAAAGAGTTGCAGAATTAAAACGTTATGTGATCAGAATGTGTTGACAATTTGAACATATAATACAAGTTGTAATGTCTGCCGTTACATTGCAAGACTCTACTTCCGGGTCATCAAGATCATCAAGACTATTTGTCCTCATTCCGGTGATACCTGCTCGTCCAACAAGACCAGAGAGTTCGGTTCTTTCCTAAAAAATTGGGGAAATCGTCCTAAATACCTTTAAGATTAACAAATAAATTAGTGAGAAAAAATAATCTACTTTTATGTATTCAAATTCTTGTTGACTGCTCTCTAGCCAGACTCCAAATCATGAATGTGCTGAGAGAGGTGAAAAAAGCTTTTGGCGATTTAATTTGTGGAGAGAATGGAAAACTATCTGAACTCTGAACAATTGTCAAGCGCTTTGGGTGACCTTGGTCTGTAAAAAAATTTGCTAAATAAATAAACATTACTTACTTACTTATTATACCTGATTTTTTATAGAAATGTCATAGTTTTATCTTCGTCAAACTTAGAATTTATCTTCATATTTGTGATCTAAATTTAGACATGTAATAATTTTGTATGGTCTCAAATCACAACAGCATTCCTACTCAGAGGACTTTACAAAGATGTCAATTCTTGAGTTTCATTAAACTGGCCAGTAGGGGGCGAATGAACAGAGGTGGAACAACTCAGTTTTGCTCCCATTGAAAACCATGTAAATCATGTCTGTTTTGGAGTCAAAAGTCTCTCCTCCTGTGCGGTGTATGGTTGTTGTAATAGTCTTAATCGGGGACACTCAATTCTAAGGGAGTACTAAAAAATATTTCTCTAAAGGTCATATTTTTCAATATTTCATTCAAGTGGCCTGCAGGGGGCGCTTATCTGGGAAAACCTTGATCCATCTGTGATTTTTTTCAAAGTGTCCTCCTTTATATGAGACCACAGCTGGAACACAGAAAAAACTCTTGTCTTTCTCTCTATTTGTGCGGTTGCTACAAGCGTACACCGCACAAAAAGATGGCATTTTGACAGCGCCTCTTCTTCTACTAAATCTCCGTGTATAAACCCGGCAGACTGCACCGCCAGGATACGTCACGTCCTGTCCCACGTTTGTTATTTAATAATCAAGAATAATTACTCGATCTATTGATTTCACAAACTAACAGTGGATTGTATTATTATTTCTTGAATGGTTAAAGGCGCTATACCCGTTTCTGCAATGTTTGAATGTTTAGCACCGCCCCCCCAACTCGCTCACAGGCTTCTCATTTCCCCTACGCTCTCATAACACAGAGCCACCTAGTTTTATTTGCGATCTGATACATATGCTAACATTAGCATTAGCGCAACTTCTTGTAAGCTGTGCAACAATCACTGATGAAATGGCACTAAAGCAACGCACTGCTAACACAATATATAAGTAAAAGAATACCGCTAGTTTCGCGTCCGAATGTATTAATTTAAAACCTTAGAATATATTCTAATATTTAATTATAATGTGTTATAGAGCTCCTCAAAGCAGCAGCAGCAATTCTTCCGATCATTTTTTCTTGATAACAGAACTCTCAAACCAATAATGACCGAAGCCCCAATGAACCTCTGTTTGTAATTCAGGTGGGTAAAATACTGCCATTACTCTGCAAGTACAAGCTATCAGCACCTGTCACTACACACTTGTCTGTGTAGAGAAGCTAGCGAAGCTAGCGACGCTCAATAAACAAATACATATCTATCAATCAACACCATTAAACGTCAATCGGACAATACAGTACACATATACATCCTTAACACACATGCACGGATGATTTCAGAATTTGCTGTTAACGTTTTCATGACAAAAATACTGTTTCAATGTGACAAAAAGCGATTGCGAAAAACCCGGAAGTTACCATGAAACAACTAGCTAGCTTAGCTGTTACCTGCCTAGCACGTCCCGGTGAAACCTTTGGGAGCTAACTATTTTATTTGCAGTCATTAAATACATTTCTAATTACAAGGGTTGTCTAATATTTGTTCACATTTTTTATTCAATTATTTTGTTCATCATTTTTTATTTTAGAATTATATTCGAATTTTGAAGTCGAAGCCCTGGTGTTAAGCAGCGCTGTAGAGGCTAGAGGACGCAGGCTGTTCGCTGCTCGTTCTGTGAGCGGAGGAGAAAGAGCGGCCCGCTCAGACTCTACTCTGCACTTTTCACTGCTTGTAATTCTTACACAGCTGAATCAATTACCTCAAGTTCTCAATTAAATGATGTATTATGATACAACTTGTATGTAGTAAAAAGCATTTTTATGAACTACTTAGAAAAAATATCGGGTATAGCTTCTTTAATAGCTGGTGCCGGGTTTTCTCCTGGTGGTGGTGGTAATAGACTGATAAAACTGATAAACAACAAACCTGACTGCGTAAAGGCTCCTGGCATTAACTGTGGTGATCTTTGAAAGAGGGCACTCTAGTTCTAATTTGGTAACTATGGTAACTGTGAAAAACTCTGATTTAATAATTTCTGGGTCAAACATGACGCAAAAAATTGTCTAATTTTTTTCTCATAATGTTGTCTTGAAGCGGTGACAATATTCAAAGACAATATGGCGCAGTGGTTAACGCTTTTTATTTCAAAGCGCGAAGGTCCTGGGCTCAATCGCAGCTCCATGCTTATCCGCGTAGGTTTTACTCCAGGTGCTCCGGTTCTCCCACTACCACTAAAAACGGTTGGTCTCGCTACTGTCATTGCCGCTTGTGAATGGAAAAATATCTGATTTCTGGACATTGTAAAAGAATTTAAAGTGCTAGTTACCATAGCAACACACTGTTTACTGTTAGAAGCTAGCACTAGCAATTCTTGCAGTATTTCAGTTGTAAGTGAGTAAAAGGTTAATCTCTTATAAATTACCTATAATTTTAATAAATCTGGTGAAAAACTACACATTTTTGGGGGAGAAATTCACAACATTCCATTGGTTCGAATGGGAGCTGTCAAAATGACGGATTTGAAGAAACATGAGGGAGGCCAATAGAAAAGAGTTTCAAACATAAGAATATTATGGCGGGTTTTTGAATCTAATCACTAAGAGGGTGTCAAACTCATTTTGGTCGCGGGCCGAATGAGAAAAATAGGAACTGATTGGGGACCGAAAGAATAGAAGGGGTTTCCTTTTCTTCAAATAGTTTTAACATAATGATGGTATTTTTTCCTATATGGTACAGTACGTGACATGAGTTTCACTATCATATTTTGGTACATTTTTCTAAAAACAAAATGTGTTTATCATATAGATTTAACCAAAGCTGGCTTAAATATAAAGTTTAACACATAGTTTTATAATTAACTACTTAGCTTAGATTTGTACATGCCTTGGTAGCCCATTTCAGCGGCCACTAAAAATGTCCTTGTCTGCACCAACACATAAGGATCTGGGAAAGAATTCAGACATGTGTTTTTATTTTTATTTTTTCTAAATCCCTTCAAACATTGTATCTTTCCCCCAGAGCTGTACTGGCACCTGTCCTCCATCTGAAATAGAATCCTGGAACTCGAAGGTAACCTATTAAACTCATTTTCTATTCCGATAGCTTCCGGTAAGGCTGAGAGGCTAGTTTTGGGAAGGGGCTCTCTCAGGTTAAGCTCATTGTCATTTTCGTCGTGTTACCGGTTTGTCCTTAAAGCCATGAGAAAAACCGTTGAACAGACTCACAACATTCAAAAGCAGCATTTTACTGAACAAATACAATCAGTCGATAAAAGTCACGCAGAGTTGAAAGCTAGATGTCTTGTTTTCTTTTATCAAACCAATGTTTTGTTTGGACTCCCGCTGCAGCAGAAGGTCACAGGATGTTGCAGGACGGACAGGAGATGATCCAGAACGCTTAGGTCCTTAGGGTGTTAAACTAAGGGCCAACAACTCTCTGTGTGTGTGTGTGTGTGTGTGTGTCAATCAATCAATCAAAGTTTATTTGTAGAGCGCCTTTCATACACAGGGCAACACAAAGCGCTTCACAGTCCACATCACAAATCATCACATAAAACAAACACCAGAATCACAATTAAAACATTAAAATCACACAAAAGATTAAAACACAATTAAAACAGTAAAATCACACAAAAGAATAAAACCATTAAAACTTTCAAAATTACACAAGAAATTTAAAAAAAATAAATAAATGACAGCAGTGCATTAAAAATGGAGATAAAATCCTTCAGTTATATGCACAGGCAAACAGAACAGTCTTTAACCTGGATTTGAACATTGACAGAGTAGACGCCTCCCTCACATTTTCAGGGAGATTGTTCCAGATCTTAGCTGCATGGA